CATGGTTAAGTTGGGTGTCACTTTCTGTGTGCAGGATCCCTTGCAGAATCTTTTGTAATGGTGGCTTTGTGGTCACATATTGTTTTAGTTTCTGGTAGGAAGGAAGAATGGTACAGCCACTGAAGAAAACAGTCCAGTAGTCATTCAAAATGTTAGACACTGAGCCATCATTTTACCCAGCCATTCCACCCAAGTTAACTGAAAACAAATGTTCACACAGACCTTGTGCACCCGTGCCCACAGCATCTGCATTCACAAGAACAGACAAAAGGCAAAAATAACCCAAATGTTGGGCTATTTTGTGGCCTAGTCACCTAATAGAACATTACTCAGTTATAAGCAGAAATGAAGTTCTGATATGTACCACAGCCTGGCGGCCCTTGAGACATTACACCAAGTGTAACGTCCAGAGCAGGCAAATCCATCGAAACAGAGAGCAGAGGAGTGTGTGGCCACGGACCACATGGGTATGAAGGAACATGGAGTGTTTGCTAGTAGATATGGGTCTCCCTTCGGTGGGATGAAGTTGTTTTGGAACTAGATAGAGGTGATGGTTGCAGAGCTTTGTAAAAGTACTAAATGCTACTGAATTGCACATTTCAAAAATGATTACGTTTGTGCTCTGTGAATTTTACCTCTTCTTTCAGTGAAAAGCAAAAGCATTGCTTGATTTTGACAGTGGCAAGTGCTATGTTAAATTGGAAGAGAATAATCAGGGTAGGGGTAGGATCGGTTTTAGCTGAAGAGGTCAATAAAGTCTTCTCCGAAGAAGTGACATTTAAACTGAGACTCAGAAGTAATGAGCTAGTCCCAACAAGACCTGGGAGAGAGCACTGTGAGCCAATAGGATGCAAAAGACTGGGATGCAGTCTTCACAGCCCAGTGTAAGAGACAGATGTGCTGAGAGACAGCAAAAGAATCACTTTCAGACAGATAAGCAGTTGACGGCCCTACCACGTTGCACATGCTGGATTTCCTCTGATATCCTAACCAGGACAGGCACAGAGCACCTGGGAACCCACAAGACAGCACTGAACTCATTCTACCTATACTTATGAAGTAGGAAAGGGTCATACAATCCCTGAGCTGGGGCTTGAAGAACGGACCAGAGTTACCCAGGGAAGAAAGGGTAAGGGGAAGCCATGAATGCCTGAATCTCAGGGATTACCTCCTCTATCCCCCTCAATTAATGAATGGGGAAACTGAGGCATGGGGCAGCAGTTGAGCAAACCACTGAGCACGAAAGTCACAGAGAGAGATAATGGGGAACCATTTAGGCACTGGATTCACAAAGAATGGCATTTGAACCTGGCCTTATCACCCTGTTGCTATAGGATCCTGCATAATACTTTTTGCTGTCTGAGACTCAGTTTTCCGTCTATAAAACGAGAATAATAAATATGACCTATCAGAGTCATTGTGAAGGACTCTGTAATGTGGAAAACTGAAATCAGGAAATTGAAGTATTTATCTGTCTATCTATCTATCAATCTATCTACCAGTCTGTCTCTCTATAGTAGCTGTTCCCTAGTCCACAGCTCAGACCACTTGACTAAGTGGCCTTTGTACCCAAAACATCAGAGTAGCCCTGAAGAACAGTCCCCTCCAGAGAAACAAATTACCACTACACATCTCATTACCAGTGTATTTTAAATGGGACACAGGGTAGTGGGCACCAAGCATTAGAAGGAGCCCTGCAGAGGAAAATGAAAGAGTCACTTGTCTAGCAGTCAACGTCCCTTTCAGAATCAAGGCATGCTCTGGGTGAACATCAGTGGAGCAAGGCAGAGAGCTGAAATTCACCATTCTGTTTTCTTTTGAGTGACATGGAATGCTCATTTCTATGCAAAGAAAAACAAAACAACCAATGCCATTGTTCTGACATCAATTCAAAGCACTTTTGGTGGGAGCACTTTCCTCTCACTCCACCCCCACCCCAAGGTTGATTGCCTTACACTCCTGGTGGCTGGACAAGCTCCAGCTAGGCTTTCCAGAGAAAAGACAGGGACTTCAGTTATATCTGGTTTCTAGATAAACAACAAACAATCCCCTAGTATAAATATGCTCCGACGACATCATGGAACATACTTATACTACAAAACTATTTGTTGGTTTTCCAACTTTCAAATTTAACTGGGTATCCTGTATCTTTTTTTTTTTTTTTTTTTTTTTGCTAAAACTAAAAACCCTAGCACCAGCTGACACAGGCAGAAGTGAGACCAGTGTCTGGCCACATATCTGGGTTACTAGGCAAATTGCAGGGGGCGGGGGCAAAGCCTGCCTGAGCTCAGCCCAGCTCTGCCTGGCCCAGAAGCAGACATCTTGTGGACGACGCTATAATAAGGCAGCAGCTGAAGGGATCGACCCCTTTCCACACCCAATTCTAAAAGCAATTGGTCTTGATGGTGGGTCCTATCCAAACCACGCCCCAGACTGTCTGCCCCTGCCTCCTTCCCCAGGGCCTACAGGGGCCTGCAAGCTCCACCCTGCCTGGTTTGCCAAGCAAAGCAGTGCAGCGACAGCTCATGCAACACCTTGGCCCAGAGCATCCGCTGCTGGACACCTGGCTGTCTGTGAGGCACCGCGGAGACACAGTGACAAAGAACAAAGCTCCTACTCCCCTTCCCCATCCCAGAGCCATCGATCCTAGTGCCATTGATCTTTCCATTTTACAGAGCAGATTCAGAGCCTGAAAGTAACAGACTAGGAAAGTGTGTGTCCATTTCAACCAAGGTTTCTCAGACTCCAGGAAATGGGAAGTAGCCTGAGGGTAGAACCTGTGGCGTAGGGATGGGTCCACTGTCCTTGGTGAGGAGATGACAGGTGTCCTAAAGGAGGAGACACAGGCAGCTGCCCTTGCAGAACTAAAGGAGCTCTCCCTCCACACCTCACTGCCTTAGAAGCAGTGAGTAAGGCAGTGAGCTGTGGAGGTGTGGGGTATGGCTGCAAGGCTGCACCTAGGTGCTAGAAGGAGTGGACACTGGGATAAGAAAGAGGTTGTGGTTAGCACAGGTAAGAGGTGCCTAGATTTAGAACATCTTCCCAACATGGGCACTGAAGTTATTTGGCTTGAATTCACTTTACTTTGTCAGCAGAGAGGACAATAGCTTCCTCTTCTATGACTGCACTGGTCGGTTGTCACAGCCTCCCAAATAGAAATACCCACAGTTAGGAAGTGTTCCCCAAAAGATCAAGCCTTATCCTCTGCAAAAGCTGCTTCATTCAGTCATCCATTTGTTCATCAGCAACAAACACTTGCTAAGCACCTGCTAGCTATGGGGTCCTTGTTAGGTGTGGGGAGAGTGGGGGCTGAGCAGGTGACCCTGTGTTGATGGCGAACGGCATTGGGCCTCCTCCTAAGCCATCCTCCAGGGTTCAGATACTCTCCTGCCCCTTCAGGCTCTAGGCATATGGGACAGGGAAGGAAGGGTGCACAGAAGTCTGGCACAACACAGGGTGGGTTTTGGAGCTGATGGTCAGTCAGTCAGCAGCCCCCCTAGAAAGAGAGAAAATGCAGGTCTTTGGCCAGTAGCAGTCTGAGAAGAGCAGATCTCCATCACAGAATTCCCCTGGGCAGGCCAGTTTCTGAGGGAGAGCCCTGTTCCACCTGCACTTGCTTCAAGGGGGAGTCCCAGCCAGGTTCCTGGCAGTCACTACCCTCGTGGTTCCTATCTCCCAGGCTAGGATTTATGCCAGGCTGGCTCCAGTGGCAAGGTAGAGTCCCCAGGGCCCTTCCTCCATATCCAGGGGTGTCAGGGAACCCCCAAGTCCTCAGCCCATTCCAGTGGCATTGGAGGCTCTGGATCACCCTATCCACTTGATTCTGTACCTTCCCACCTGCGCATTGGTGGGGCCAATCACCTGATCGGCAGCCTGTTCCAGACAGTGACAGCTGTTACTGCTTGCTATGTTTGGGGGTTCTTGGAATACTCAGAGTGCAGCCACCAGCTCAGGCACAAAGCACCCTCCCATCCCTTTCTTATCTCTGGGAAAGATGGACTGCAGGCACTTCCCCACATTGTGCTTTGCTCCTGACTTTGCAGTTCCCCCTTTGCTGCCCAACCCAACACAGCCACTTGCTCCACTTGGCTGCCAGCCCAGGTCACTGCTTCCTTTCTAAGTGAGCCCCCATTCTTTGCTCCTTTCCAAACTCAGCCAGCCCTGTCATCTCCTCCAACAGAGACAGTGGCCCTCTCTCCTGCTGCCCACCCTCCCCCTCCCTCCCCAACCTGACCACTGTCCATTAACTAACTCCTGGCCTGTGTGGCAGATGAGGACCAGGTACCTCTGACTCGTTGATGGGGTTGGGGAAAGAGAAGACACTGGCTGTAGAAAGCATGATAGCACTAGTCACTGTGAGCACAGTTGCTGGCTCATGCTGTACATGTGATCTCTGCACCTGCTGGGTGTGTGCACTGTCTTAGGTGCTAGGGATGGAGCAGGGAGCAAAACGGGTAAGATCCCAACCCTTGGGGACCCACCATTCCAGTGGATAAAGCAAGACAAGCCGGGCTTTCCCTTTCATAAGTTGGCCCTTTTGTATTTAGACACGATCCGAGGCTTCAGTCAATTATTTATGTGCGTGTTTGCTCATCAAGGCATTTCAGACCTCTCCTCAACAGGTCCTGAATTCTCCTGGACGTGGTAAGGCGGAAGACAGTCAGTAGTCCCAGGCCCAGAGCTCAAAAGCCCACAAGATGTGAAAACCCATAATTATCCTGGAAGCCGGTAAGAGCTGTGCGTGGGGCTTGACTCTGTGGGAATCTACAGAGGATGATGCTGACTAATCCCCAGCATTCTGCAGAGAGAGAGAGAATGGAGGACAGGGAAGTGCAACACCTGGTGGGTGTCATTGGTCTCTAGCAGGGATTAGAACT